GGGAGATTGTTGATATAATTATAATTTAGTTCTTGATTATTGATATTCTTACAACATATACATTTTTTATGATTTCAAATATTATTGCTTTGATTATTATTTCTCCTAACATATTTTGGATGTAATCTTTGCTATTTGTGTGTACTAACTTTTCAAGAAGATCATACTCCAGATTGTTGAAGACTTCAGATAAGATCAGTTAAGGATTTACTATAAATGAAGTCTGTATTTTTTTTCTTTTTATTAAGTCTGAGAGAGTCTGATTGTAATTGAGTAATTGTGCACACACAAACACACCAGGGGAGAGTTTAAAATCTACAATTTTTATACTAATCATACTGTATGAAGTTTCATTGTATGGGACAATTTTATCAATTATTTTTCCTTTCAAGCAGTCAAACGAATAAGGAGCATAACATTTTTCTAAGTATGGATCGTACTGTATAATATCACAATCGTACGTACGCCATCTTGGGTACAAATTAGATGAGTCCCTTTTCGTCCAAACGAACTTGAAAATTTCTGAACCATTCATATCGTACTATTTCATCATCATACGTATGCCATCCAGGGTACGATTTGGATGAGTCCCTTTTCATCCAGATGAACCTAAAAAACTTCTGAACTGTTCGTACTGTACAATGTCATCAACGTATGTACGTCGTACAGGGTACAAATTGGACGGGTCCCTTTTAGTCCCAACTAATATGAATATTTTTGTAATTGATGGTATCATATGATATCATCATCTTACGTACGCCATCTAATATACGAAATTGTGGGGTCCCTCTTCGACTCGATGATGGTGAAAATTTTTCTAACTGTTCGCACCGGACAATCAACATGTATGAAAACATTTCATACCGATCCACAATAGGTTCGTATGCAACAGTTTTTTTATAGTTCGTACCTAGAAAAGTATGATCATACATGATGATCGTGTATGCTCAAAATTGAAAATTTTAATTTTCTAGACGGTTTTTTGTGTCTTTGATATAAAAAGTTCCCAAAAACTAACGTGAAAAAGTCTTATCTTTGTTATTTTTCAAGAGTAATTGAAAGAGATAGTGTGGGAGAGTGTTTGAGAGAGATTACTTGCTTGTGGAGTGTAAAGGATTCACAAGGTTTCTCAAAAGTAAGGATCTCTTTATATTTTTGGTGCTTACTCTTCTATTCTTCGTTTAAATTGCTCATGACAAGATCTTTTGAAGAAGATCCGGTATTCTGCCGATACTTACAGGGCGTGAAAAGATAATGGTACTTTACCGACACTTGAAGGGTATGAAAGGATGATGACTCTCTGCCGACACCTGGAGGGTGTGAAAGGATGACGGTACTCTGTCGAAACTTGGAGGGTGTAAAAGGACAATTATTCTTTACCAACACTTAGAGAGTGTGAAAGGATGATGGTACTTTGCCGACACATACAGAGTGTGAACAGACCATCTCTCTTCCGACATTTGGAGGGTGTGAAAGGAAGACAGTTCTCTACCGCATCGGGGATTAGTGGAAGAGAGGTTTTGTAAAGGCTTCTCCATCTTATTGTAAGGGTAAAAGGAGAGACACTTTGGTAATAATGCAATACATGAAGAGGGAGTCTTTAAGGAGTGGATGTAGGTCCTGTTTGACCGAACAACTATAAATCTTTGTGTCTTTCAATTTCCTTATTTTATTTACTGCAAGTAATTTAATGGGGTTAAAAATTTTTATTTTAAAAACTTAAATTAACTTGCTACGAGTTTTAAAACTAGTTTTCTATTTATAAAATTAAAGAGAATTTTTAAATTATCAATACCCCTCTTGGTTAGCATTGGGACAATAGCTTATGTTTAACAACCTATATAGAATCTACACCCTTTCACTGGCTCTCTAAGAAATCACAGAGATAAGATTGTCCAAAATACTTTTTAAGGACTTTATATATATGAAAGGCATGAAAAATTGTTTATAAAATTAAAAATTTGAATTTTGAGCGTACATGATCATACAGTATGATCAATAATCGTATATACGAACAATTCAAAATTTGCTCGTACGATCCTATACGAAGCAATTTTGTACATGCACATCATATAGTATGAATTATCACTACGGGAAAACAACTCATTTCTGGCGAAATAATTCGTTACTAATTCCTGCGGCTATTCCGGGGGATTACCGACGAAACATTTCCAACGAATTTTCTGACATTTCTCTAATAGATTTTTTGAATCATTTTCCGTCGAACTTATTTTCGACGAAATTTCTGACCAAAATAATTATTTTAATATTTATAATTAATTATTTCGCTAAATTAAGATAAATAGTTTAATAACTTATTATCAAAATTTTTTTTAATTAGATATTATTAAATTTAATTAATTAAATAATAATTAATAATTCTTTATTAAAGTAAATATTTTCTTTTTTTTCTGGCGTAAAATAATTTGCCAGAAATTGTACCGGAGGAATAATTCCGCTGGAAGTATTTTTGGCGGCTTATTTTGCGTCGGTAAAACATTTATGATGTGAGCCTAACTGGAGAAAAAAAATTCGTCGAAAATTCACCAGAAATACTCATTTTTTATGAATTTTGGATTTCCGACAAATTTTGTCCGCAGGTAACACCTGATTTTCCTTTAATGCGTTAAAAAAAATTTACCTATTTATCAGGACAAAAAGATACGCCATAATGTCATACTTTAGATGTTGTCTTTATAAACATTAGATCGTACAGTTCGAACAATTTAAAAAAAATTGAATGTTTGTTGGGACGAAAAGAGATGCAATCTTTTCTTACTCTGGATGTTGTTTGTACGAAGAGGACTTCATACAATACGATCAGTTTAGAAAAATTTGGATGTTCGTCGGGACAAAAAGAGACAATCTTTCCGTACTCTAGATATCGTCTGTACGTAGGGAACTTCATACAATACGGTCAATTTAGAAAAATTTTGATGATCGTCGGGATGAACTTATACGTATCGATTTCGTACTCTGAACGTCTTCTGTATGAAGATGACTTCGTAAGGATGAATAGGACTTAGAAAATTTTTCTTACATGGTTCGATTAATTGCTTGCTGGAGGAACTACCTAGACAAATCAACCCGTATGATGCAAAATCGTACAATACAATTAGTCTAAAAATTACAAGATTTAACACTCCACAGTGTTTGTGTGTATGATTACCCAATTACAATAACACTCTCTTAGACTAAAGAAAAACATAAAAAGTACAGGCTCCCATTACATTAAACCCTAATCTAATCTGTCTGGAAGTCTTCAACAGTCTGGACTATGATTTTTTTTGAAATGTTAGTACACATAAACAACACAAACAATATATATAATATATGTTAGGAGAAATAGTAATCAAAAAATAATATTTGAAATCATGAAAAACACACATAATATGAAAACATAGTTATGAAAATTAAGTTGCAACAGTTAAGATAAAAATGGATGGATTTCCCACATATTTAACCCTTAATATATGGACGAGAGTGGCGACCACTACATGACTGACTTGGATTGAAATGACCTGCTGGATTGCGACTACCAGTAAGTGGATGGAAAGGAGCACATCCACGAGATTGTCCATGGGTAGCAGATAGAGCAAACTGGAAATTCACAACAGCATGGGAAGGGATTTCACGAGTGGAATCAACAAAAAGATTGAGCTCTTCACTACATAGTAGAGCATAGGAGTCATCAAGGCTAATTTAATTAAGTTGTGTATGAATTGCTGTCTTGAAAGTCTACTAGCTGAAGGGTAAGCCATTTAATTTGTAAAGGATTATGTCTTCAGCATCTATAGAGGAGGTGGCTGTACCAATTGCATATAAATTATATTTAATTTCAGAGAGGCATTGAACAATTGTTTTGTCTCTAAGTTGAAGTTGATGTAATTTGTTCTTGAGTTGTGAAAGCTTAGAGCAATTTGTGAACTGCAGTCGACACTCAACTGTAAGCCAGATGTCGTGAGTAGAGTCCAAATTAAGAACACGTTGTAAAAGAGATGTAGAGATAGTTGAGAATATGGAAGCTGCTAATTTTTTGATCAATTAGCATCCAATATTGGTATATTAGGTTAATGAAAATAGAACCATCTGAAGATAACAACTGTTTAGGTACCGTGGTTTTGATTGATAACCAGTGAAATAACCCACAAAACCATTTACAATGAATAATTTGAAAAGTTGAGACTTTTAAATCAGATGATTATCAGTGGTTAACTAAACTGAAGCCAAAAAGAGAAAAAAGAACAGTAACCACAGTCTTAACATCTGACATTTAGAATTTAAGCTGAGGGACAGTAACTTCATTGGTAGTGAGGAGCGTATGCAGTGAAGGAGAAGTGGTAGATGATTTGGCCATACCTGTAGGCTAGGGAGAAACAAGGGAGAGAAACAAAATTATATCTATTTAACTAAAAGCTTTGATATCATGAAAGCACCTTTTACCTGCATAGAAAAGACTACAGAACATTTAGCAGAAGAAACAAAAATGCAGAGGAAAGGAAAACTGTGGTAAAACCTTTCATTTCATTTTCTGCTTCATCGTCTCTACAAGCAAATACTATAAGACTATATAGGGAAGAGGATGTTAGAGATTAAGGATATTGATCACAGGAGCAAAGATCCAATGTTAGCTGAATAAAGTTTTGAGCATATGCAGCAATAGTGCAGGAAAGGTGGATCAGTGAGCTGAAATATCCATAGCTTTAGTAACTTATCTAGTTTGCTTATCCAACTTTCAGAACTCTTTCTCAAATTTCTGGTTCAGTCTCCCAAATAATGAAGGAAACGAGATCTTTTAAATAGATTTGGCCAAAATTGATTAGTAGATAATTATTTTTCAGACTCATTTTTATTCAGAATAAATTGATTCGAACGATCAGTCTCATGTAAGAAATTTTGAGATGGCAAGTTATCCAAAGAAGCCACTGACGAATAAGTCACGCATCTGAACATTCACAAGCAAAAGCAAAAGATTCTGCTACAGCCAGAAAAACCAAACAAGAAAAACAATTACAAATGACACTTAATGTAGCTCTTGGAGCATTGATATCCTCAACTGCCAAGTTAGCAGTATTTACAATCGCTAAAAAAATAAAAATAAAAAAAATATTCCGCTTTTTCACAATTTTTTTTTGGCGCAAAGTCCTCGGAGCATTAACATCCTCTAATGCTCATAAAATTTTGCATTATTTACAATCATTTCCAATAAAAAATATTACATTATTTCACATTCATTTAGTTTTCTTTTTCATGGAAAACTGTGAGCAACAGAGTTAAAATAAATAAAATTCTTATTAATTAGCAAATAACACAGGAGTTTGGGTTCTCTTCTGCGCTATGGACGACGTAATGTGTAGTCATATAAGGATTGTAAGCTTGGTAGGCTCTCACCAACTCCGCAATTTGTTCATTGGGATCCTTCTTCTTTTCCCCCCCGCTGCCTCCGCCGCCCCCTCCACCTCCGCCGCTCTCCTTCTTTGCTCCGCCACCGCCCCCACCGCCGCCGCCTCCTCCACCTCCGCCACCGGCGCCTCCTCCGCCACCGCCTCCCTCCTTTTTCTCCCCCTCTTTGGCTAGAGGACCGATAGAGAAGATCTCAGCGTGCCAGTACCTCCTTAACTTGGTGACTACTTCGATGGGGTCCACAACCCCCACCACCGTCAGCTTCATTTCCTTCATGTCCATCGCGATTGAATCGATCCCTACAATTCATCTAGGCTTTCAGTAAGAAAGAGAGAGAGAGAGAGAGAGAGAGAGAGAGAGAGAGAGAGAGAGAGTTACCTGAGAGGGAGGAGACGGTCTTCAGAGCTTTGCGCTTGTCTTTGTCATCGTGCAGATCCAGCTTCACAACAATTTTCTGCAATTGTTAATAAATAAGGTGATCGCTTTGTTACAATTTGAATGTTCAGAGATAAATAAACAGAGAGAAAGAAAGAATCTGATAACGGATATTTGTTGTTCAATTCATCAAGATGGCTTTTTGGAGGTTAGGATAGGAGAAAAAAAATAACTTTTTCTTAAGGGTGATGGAATACCGAGAAAGAAAGAGGCTATAAAACTAAGAATTAAATCAAAATTGGACTTTTAAAACTCACCTTCATTTCTTTTGATTTTGCGAGGGATGGAGGGAGAGCGAGCGGGCGAGAGAGAGAGAGAGAGAGAGAGAGAGAGAGAGAGAGAGAGAGAGAGAGAGAGGGTCAGCTACTAAGCTGCGGAGAAGAATGGAAGTAGATTAAGAGATAGAACTTAGGTTGATGTTGGTGAGGGAGGTGGGAATTGATATTGGAGGAAGAGAGAGGCGTGCGTAATACGAGTTGATTGGCGACCAAGTCTTCGGAAGGGGACGACGAGTCAACGGGTTTGTGATGCGGGAACCTGGAAGGTGTGAACGACTGTTTCTCTCTCTAGATTTCTTGGATCGGAAGATACTAGAATTAGACATGTAAAAAAATTTATAAGTTTTTGTGTGTCACTATCCATGATTCCATGAGTATGCCTCTTAAAAAAAAGACAAAAAAAAAAAAGCATCTGGTTTTAATGGACCACCATCCCCGGCGACGGACCACCATCCCCCGCTTCGTTGATCGGAGAAGCCCTAACCACTCCATTCTGAACCACCAATTGTGAGGCGATTTAAAAAGGTTTCCGAGCAACACTGGGCTCCATTTGGGTCAAGTTCAAATGCTGTGCTGTAGCTTATGATGTATAGACTAGTTCAAACCGGTGGCTGTCTGGACAGCTTCATTTTATGTATATATAATACTAGTTTCAAAGTAATATATATATATAATTGATAAATCATAAAAAAAATTATCTCAACTTCGGATCTCGAGGTAAATTCGAAGTAGAAACTCCTAAAATTAGATATTGAGCTATCTAAACTCCGATTTCAAAAAACTTATTTTTGAATTGACCATTTCGAAGAGACAAACTTAACAACCCCAAAATTAGTCTAATCTGAACCCAAATGGGTCCATATCGAAGGCCTGAAGCATGTTTGGAAGCTTCAAAGCATAATTGGATGATCAATTGATATCTAAATATTGCATGCTTATAATCGGATCGAGCGGCTCCACGAGGTGAATCCAACAAGGCCAAGATAATTGACCTTTACTCAAATTCTCGATAAACGATCTACGGTCAAGGGAATCAATATTGGCTATCCATCAAAAACTCTACCAAAATACCCTTGATCTTCTCCTTATTTACTAGCCATGTCACTCCTAAAAAACTATAAATAAACCATTCATTCTTCACAAAGAGAAGGAAGAAAAATGAGAGAAGAGAAAGAAGGAGTAATCTGAGATCTATCTTGTCATTAAGCTCCTCCTCGACCAATGCTCGGCAACCAACCATCGCCAGAGCCACCAGTTATAACTGCACTCTTACTTGGCCAACATCCGTCACTGAACTTCTACCTGGACTCAAGCCATCCTGGACTTTTGCCGGCCACCGATTATCATCTGACTTTTGCTATTAGCCCTCATTGGACTTCTACAAGGCCAACAGTCATTGCTGAACTTCTACTCGACCACAAGCCATTGCTGGAATTCTTCCCAGCCATCGACCGTCCCCAAACTTTTGCCCAACCATTAATAATTTTCGAATTTCTACTCAGGCACCATCCTTCAATAGACTTCTGCTCAACCACAAACCATCACCTGACTTCTTCCCTGCCACAGACCATCTCTAGACTTTAACCTAACCACTGACCATCATCGAATATCTGTCTGATTCACTACAGGAAAACACATTATTATTGACGAATTTCATCCGCCGATAACATAAAAAATTTGATGGAAAAAGGATGTTTTCGTCAAATTTTCATCGAATTTCTATACGATTGTAATTCGTACATCGGTTAAAAACTTTCGGCGTAAATATTACGTCAAAAATATTTCATGTGGACTTTCCAATGAAAAATTAGTGAAAAAAGATTTTGGTTGCGTCATTTCTTTATTCCTTATTCCGGCTTTATAACTGATGGAATTGATAGTGTAAAATTACGCAGGTAGTGCCGATTGATAAAATGTCGCTATGTACGTCGAAAGTATATGACAAAGATAACCGACGCATTGTACGTTGGAAATTCTGTGTAAAAAATGCGTCGAAAATCGATACAGAATTCGTTGAAATCGATACAGAATTCGTTGTATCGTTATTTCTGACTGATTACCGATGTATTATTCATCGGAAACCCGTTGTGATAACAAAAAACAACAAGCTTCTCATACAAGAAATTGATTTCCACAACATGTAGTAAACAGTTACTTGCAACAAACAGTTACATAAGATAATAACAAATAATAACAACTTATTGTGTTTAGTGCAATAACAAACAACTACTAATAAATATCACCAAATATTCATAAATATCATAATTACATAAGTCAATTTGTTCATTTAAAAGTACAAACTAAAATAAGTACACATGAAGCTGAAAAACTAAATAACTACTCTGAATTCGTTGACTCATCCTCTACTAAAGCTACCTCCTTTCCATTGAACTGCTCCCTCATTTTTTGTATTTCATCCAACAATTGATTATGTTGCATCTATATTTGCATCTGTATCTATTCATGCAACTGTACTTGCCAATCAGCTTATGCTTTTGTTACTTGTTCTAGCTCCACTTGAAGGATAACTACCTATTGGCCATATAAGGACTATTGGGAATTTGCTGCAAAGCTGGAGCCACCAGAGGTCATCTTCTCGTATGCATGGGCATGGAAACCTAAACCATAAATCTTTCCATATTGCATTCCTCCTATCGCTTGCAACCAAATGCAGTACTTAGAATACTCTATAGAGCCACCAAAAGAACCCTAACCTACTGCAGCCTGGCTCTCTCGAAGCCATGTATACTCCTCCTATTAAAGTTATTCAAAATTTAAGCAATTTAGACATAACATAAAAATATTAAACACATATACTTACATGGGATTTTCTTTCTCGCTTTTCAACCCATTGTTGGTCCTCCTACCGCTTGTGGGTATGACTATGTAATTCAACATGAGTAAATTATCTACCCAGCATCTCTTTATATAATAGACTTATATTAGTATTCCTATTAAAGAAATTTTTTAATAACTTTTAATATTCCTTACCAAATGTTTCATGTGCTCAATATATAAAATTGAGCCCTCAATATGAAGGGAACTACCCATGCCCCCAAGATTAGAAGCTCTATTATGTCCATTTTGGTCCCTTCTACAAGCTATACCCTACGCCACCCCAACCACTTTTCAGCTCAGCCCATACACTTTCTCTAATCTATAGTGGCCGCTTGCTAGACTTTAAAATGTCTATAAAAATTTCACATATTCGAGTCGACCTACACATCTCAAAATTCTTTCTAATTTTGTCATTGTGCTAGGGCAGCAAAAAAAATCTTTATGCATTTAGAAACATATAATATAGAATATATATATTTGTTAGATTAAAGTAAAAAAGAAATAATTCAAAATATATTTATATAATAACTAACCTTAAACTCTATAAACCATATTTCTCACACTTCTTTCAAGAATTTCTGCCAAGAAACATAAGGAGTATCATACCTGCTCCGTATTATGTCATGTATTTTATGTGTCAATTATTTTGATAGGTGGAACCTATAAAAAATATGTTAGGTGAGAAAAATATTTATTTAATTTTAGTTACATGTTAATAAAATTATAAGTATGCATGTGCCACCATCAGGTTCAATCAACATTCGACCATCTATCGTCTGCTCTGCTGCAGCTAGGGTAGAAGGTCCACCTCTAGCGGGTTGAGAGAGTGGTGGGGGAAAGTATGGCAGAACATATGGTGGATATGCATAAGCAGGAGAGCCACCATAAGGTGGGGGTGGGTAGTAAGGGTAGAAGGGGATACTCTGCATGGTGTGGTGAAAGAAGGCGGGGGTCTGGTGAGTAAAAATACAAGCTATTGGCCCCAAGAGTGGGTAAAAGGTGTGGTAGGCTGACTATGAGTGGTAAGCTGATTATCAGTGGCAAACTGAGATGAATAGATCCCCTCTGTATATATAGACATGCTAGATGGACCACTAGTCATATTCTTCCTGTGCCTATTAAAATTTTTTTTATCAATCCTCTATTAGGCTCTTCAACTAATTAAAGCCAAAGGATAAATAAAAAAAATATTAGTAACATAAATTATAAAAAAATTTAATATAAAATAATGTAGGAATTAAATAAATGCAGTTCAACAATAATAAAATAAAAAACTAACTATTATCATGATGTTCAAATAAATCATATTGTCAAAAATTGTTTATCTTATGTTAACTCATCATTTGTTGATTCACTTTTATATAATGATATATTTTCACCACTATCAGATTTCTCATGACTTTCCTCTTTGTTTAAATCTACTTACTCTAACTACAACTTACTATCATTAATTGAAATTTATTCATCCGCATCGATAGCAAGATTTTTAAAAATTGACATAAACTCTTCTTGATGTGTTGATAGTATTGAAGTAGTTTTTTTAATTACTCCCATTAGTTTGGCCTTCATAACTACAAGCCAATCCTATTTGCCTTGTAATATGCTTGGATAGTTAGCATAATAGACTTGGCTTGGGTGACTAGCAATAATGAATGGGTTAAACTTTGCATATATCCTACCCTGTTTTACTTTTGTTACACCAAAAATTTGATGTAATCATATGCCTCTATTTTGTACTGGATCAAACCATTCACAATTAAATAGATACAAATTATTCCTATGACTGAGGTATTCCACCTTAATATTTATTATAATACTTAGTAATATATAGAATCATCACTTGTATGGGTGTTCCCTCTTACACATACACATGAATTTTCTATCTTCCTACCTTCAAACTAATTTTTTATCTGGAATTTATAAACATTAACCAAAAATATTTGATAACATTTAACTAATTTATTTGATCCCCAAGCTAGCTCAAGTAGCTCTTGATACTCCGAATCACTGTATTGAGTGTGCACCTAATAATAAATAAAGTATATTATTAGCATATTTATTGCATATTGTGCTAACTAATTAAGAAAAAATACTCAAAATAAAAAGTTAAAAAAATATACTATATTTTTAAACCAAGTAGTGATTTCTTTCTCTAATATCTTCTAGACTTCTACTGGTTCTAATGTACTTCAACCATTAATGAACCTACTACAAACTTTAGGGTTTAGATCAAAGTTATGAATAAAAAATATATGAACATGCTAACTAATATTTACTTGAGATATGACTTAACTTCATCACAATTAAGTAAGATAAATAATGTGTAATAATAACACCTTCTTGTAGAATGTGTTCATTATGCCATCTCATATGTACAACAGATTTCATGGATGCAGATAATAGTTGTAGTCTAGGAATTATTGGTAAGTAAAACATCCTACTGACAGGTACTTCCTTCAGCTTTTTTTTTGTTCTAGACTTTATTTTAAATCTTGGTGCATTACAATGATGGCATACAATTTCTAATAAATTATCTTTAAAATATAATATACATTCATTGACACAATAATCTATATTTGTGTATGT